ATAAATGATTCAGTTCTCTTTCTGACTTCTTCAGTTCTGTCCCAAGCATTCAAAGCTGCTACATGGCATACAGTCAGGGTATGGTCATCAAATAGAGACAGTCTTTGTACATCAGCATAATCACCCTCTTCAAGAATTTGGTCTTGGGAGATTTCAATACCTCTAGCCCTACTTCATTGTTCAATGGTCCTGACCTCATCTTTTCACCAATTCCTCCACTGTAATTGAGGACCAGGTTCTAATACTGTTGTATCCAAGTCTCTCCTGTCTTGAGGTACAATTCTGTTACTAGTTGACTATGACACCTGCTAATCATCTGCTTCACAAAAGATGAATGCATGCCATGTGAGACTTTTGCTTCCTTAAATCCCCTTAAATCTAACATTTCAACATGAATCTGGTCAGCTCTTACACAGCCTTGGGATATCTGTCATTTGACAATTGTTCCTATAAGATGACTAGATAAATTTAGGTTGTTTGTTTGAAAACCTTGGGCTATTTCTCTCTAATTTTATAATGTAAAGGAGAACATTTGTTCTCCTTTAAATTCCTCTGTCTGGGTCTAAATATCTCTACGATCCATTTTAATACGATTTTCTAAGGCCTGTATCTTGGCACTCATATAAGCCACCTTATTAATGAGATAAATCAAGAATTATCAAAACAATAATAAGAATTATCAAAATGATAATTAATATTATGTCAATCCCAGTTAATTATCCTTTCATTTAACTATTCCATTTTTAAACCATGCATTGTGTAATCATACAGAGACCTAACTCCCTCCATCATTATAGCATGTCCCATTTTTAATGTGAGAAAAAAATCTCTCTTTCTCTTTTTTTTTTAAAACTAATTTCCCCATTTAGCAATTCACAATTGTCTTTCCAAATCTGCTGATGATGGTGACGAAGACAGGGAAGTATGAGGCTGACTGCTGCTGTGTAGAATAGTTGAAGCCTGAACAAGTGTCAAGGAAGTCACCTAGTGTGGGTCCAGGGAAAGCCCACAACCCCTCCCTGCCCCAGGAGAGGGAGGCTCCTGTCTGAAAAGCACACATAGGAAAACATGGGGGAAGAAGCACACATGTGTGGCAGGAGCTGCCTGAAGGCAGAGCTGGCCAGTGGTGAGGGGATAACTCTGGCAGCATGTGGAGCCTAAGCACCTATAGAGTTTGCTGCACAACAGAAAATTCCTGGACTGGTTCAGAAAGCTTGGGGTAAACAAGGAAAACCTAGCCAGTGGGGCTATGACTTAGGATGGAGCCCCCTTATGTAGCTCTGGCATGTGTCGGTTGCTGTAAAGTCACAGGCAAGCAACTTTTTCATGAATTAATGCCCCAAAAGTTGGGTGCCAGATGAAGGGTGATCCTGATTAGTCTTATCAATAAAAACCAGGAAACAGATATTGGGGTAAAAGATGAAAAATCAGAGAAGCAAAGGAGCAGCCAGAGTGATTTCTTAACTATCCGGATCCTCAGAGAAAAAGAGCATGAGATCCTATCTCCACCAGCCTTATGTTCCTGTTTCTGCTTCCTGACTGTGCTGGGATTAAAGGCATGAGCCTTCCAAAGGCTGGGATCAAAAACATGAGCCTCCTAAGTACTGAGATTAAAGGTATGAGCCACCATCACCTGACCTCTGTGGTCAACTAGTGGCTAGCTCCACCCTCTTGTCTCCAGGCAATCTTTATTTGTCTGAACACAAACAAAATATCACACAATATTTTCTTAACATCATCTCTTGAATGAGCTCATTTAAATGCAAGAAGTTAACTATGCAATATTATCTTGTAATCTCAGGGAATGAAAAAATCAAAAGCTCAATTTAGGAAAATCCATAGAATGCAGTTATTTCTCAAATGTATAGTAGTAGTGTTCTAGAAGAAAAAATACTAAGACTCTAGAGTACAAAACCACACTAACATACTCCTAAGTGCTATGTTAGAGCATTTAGTTAAAACACTCATTTTATAATATTAAGATAAATTTTAAATAAAATGTAATAGAGTAACTAAGTAGAAAAAACTATGAGAATCTATGAGGTTGCTTAACATATTTTTTTTTTGAATCACAAAAATATTTGTTGGGGAAATAGCACTATGCACAGACAATTTACAGAAAAATTGCATATCATTTCCAAATTACAAAAATAGCCACTACTAACAAAGCACATATTTTATCATCATGTTCTCTATGTAAACATCTTGCTTTAAATACTAAAATACTGTGTACTTTTGTGCATTGACCAAAAAAATTATAAGAATATACATAATTGCAAAGGTTACCAATCAATCATACAATTCAATTCACACATATGAGAAACTGAAAGCAACCTAAAACTGACAAATAGATTGCCAAATTTAGCTATATCTATGCTCTTAAACATAGCAAAATAAACTAACTCAGAAGCCACAAACATGGAGGCACGGATTCAGAATTTTTGCTGCAGCGTGAAAGAAAATGGTTTACCAAAACTTCCTATTTATGAGTCCAATTATCAAAGTATTCTGGAAATTTTAAATCCATTACAAAAGCTGTCAGTGATTACTGTGGGTGTGGGGTTACAATTGCCTCAGTTTTATCTCCTATAATTAATGTGTTCAACCCCTATACTTCTCTACTACAGAATGTGACTGTATTTGGAAAGATGGCTGATAAATAGGCAATTTCTGTTACTTGCATTCATGTTCTTGGGGAAATCCATTTGATACAAGAAAATCAACTGATGTTCTTTTCCCTGGGAGAAACCATTTCTCCCATTCTCAGCCTTCCTTGTCGTTTAGTTGTTTTAGGAAGGTTGAGGTGTTGTAGTCTTTCCTTGTCAACTTTGACATGTTTATTGTTATCCTCATTCAGCAAAGTTTAGGTAGTCATGCTGTTGAGGGTAATATGGGAGAAAAGTTTGGAGTGAGGAAATGGAAAACAAAAATGATGTAATTATATTACAAACTCAGAGATAAGGAAATAAAAAGAGACAATTAGACTATGAAGTGTTTAAAAGCTAATCTTTAGTGATACTGAGAGCCCACAGAGATGATCACTCAGACAGAGTTTGTACATAATTGCAAGTCTTTATTTTAGCCAGCTGGGACTGCACTCAGGTATTTGGGACTTATGGTGATATTTTATTTGTGCTGAAGTGTGATTTTATTTTTATGTTAATAAATAAAGTTGCCTGGGAGTCAGAGCTAATAGCAAGCCACAGCAGAAGCTGGGCAGTGGTGTCACACGCCTTTAATCCCAGCACTCGGGAGGCAAAGGCAGGTGGATCTCTGTGAGTTCGAGGCCAGCCGGCTACAGAATGAGTTCCAGGAAAGGCTCCAAAGCTACACAGAGAAACTCTGTCTCAAAAAATCAATATATATAATCATATATATATATATGTGTGTGTGTGTGTGTGTGTGTGTGTGTGTGTGTAAGAAATGTTGACAAAATATGGCAAGTCCTTCAGAAAGTTACTTTCACTGTGTCTTCAGAAAGATCCTTCCAAAAGGCCCAAAGCAGCAGAACTTTTAAAATGCAAATTCTTCCAGAAAGCCAAGAATAGAGACTACATGATTGAGAAGCTGCTTATGAGAATGCCAGACATAGGCCAAAGAGCCAAGAAGGTCCTGTTTTCAGCTGCTGTTGGATGCATGATGGTCCATCACTTACTCTGTTCGGCTCAGTACGGCTAGTTCCTGGATCAAGTGCTCACCTCCATAAAACTGAAGGTGGAGATTGGGAGTGAAGTGATGATGAAATGGATGGGAAGAGTGAGGAAGGAAAGGCATCTGCCTCCCAAGAGAAGTCTTGCAGAGTAAAAGAAGAACATCCAGAGATCTTGGTAAACGCTGGTGGCATCCCGGAGCAAAACAGTCCCTCTTCGTAGTGTACTTCTTGACTGTGTATATTGCATATACTTATTGGATATAGTTTTTCTTGTATTAGTTATAAGCTTTTTTAATTTTAGACAAAAAAGGGAAATGTGGTTGATATATTGTGCACCCCAATAAACTTAACTGGGTGTCAGAGAACAGAACAGCCTTAATATTAAACATAGAGGTTAGGCAGTGGTAGCATACACCTTTAATCTAATCACATGGCAGGCAGAGTCTGTATGTTCAAGGACATAGCCAGCTTGGAGACACACACCTTTAATCTCAGTACCAACCATAGAGACCTTGAGGTCTATATAGACAGGCAGTGACTCGGAGGTCATGTGGTTGGGTTTACAACCAATGAGAAGGCAGAACAGAAAGTCAATAAAAAGACAGACACACAGGAAGTAGGTCTCTTTCTCAGGGTAAGGACGACAGTAGCAGCGAGGGATAAGACGGCAGTTTAGGCAGGGCGGTGGTGGCACACGCCTTTAATCCCAGCACTCGGGAGGCAGAGGCAGTCAGATCTCTGTGAGTTCGAGGCCAACCTGGGCTACCAAGTGAGTTCCAGGAAAGGCGCAAAGCTACACAGAGAAACCCTGTCTCGAAAAACCAAAAAAAAAAAAAAAAAAAAAAATAAGGCAGTTTAGTCTCAGCTCTTAACTACTGCTCTGACCTCTTGGGTTTTTAAGTGTGCATTTGGTTCTGTGTTTCTTGTTTAATAAAACCGTTCAAAATTACATCTACAGTAACCCAAATGTAGCCCCAAGCATTTAGAGCAAAGGGCTTTTAAAGACAAAATAACACATTCTTGTATCTCACTCAGCAGCTGCAAGGGTTGGTTTCAGCAAGCTAGAAGTTTAAAAGAATTTAAGATAGACAGGTAATTGGAGGGGGGAGTTTTGCATATGCAAACAATTTAACGGAAGGTAAAATAAGTTAGCACTTGACCTAGGGTACCTAAAATAGAGTTGATAGTTATTCATGGTTTTCTCCATTAAGGAGACCAAATTTGACTTAATACTAAAATGTCTTTAGAAAAAATACAGGGGGAGCAACCATGATGCTTTCTTGCCCTGCAACATTAGCCTAATTAGAAGGTTGTAGTTATAAAATTAACATGGTATTGCTCCATTCAAGGAAACAGCAGTGGTGCATATGCTCAGAGGAATACTTTCTAAGGATGCAGCAGTGGGCCCAAGGCTACAGAAGACATCACAAGAGGCTTCTGCAGAAAACTGTGATGTACTGGTACTGTGATTTCATGTCTCTTCACTCTAAGCCTGAGAATGCAAATGTTGATATACTCAATGTCTGCAGTGGTTTATTATCAAATACCTAGTCAACTCTTGGTGATCACACATCATAGCTCAGAATGGCAAAATTATTTCATATTATAATAACAGATACATATTAGACTTTGTCAACCTTCACAGGTTCCCTTGCATGAAAAAAAATCTAGTTAGAATATATGAGTTAAATTAATCATGGTCATGATCAGAAAATCTTAGTATGTATGGAATATATGAAGAATAATATATGAAAATGATCTGAATGAGTGACTAAAAAAATGTTGCTGACTTTGGAAATGGTTGGTATTATGCATTCAAGCCCAAAGAGCTATAAACACTGAGTGCACTCTAGGTAATAAACATTTCCTTTCCCTGAAGGTATGAGTTCAGTATTTTAGTAACACTGTACCTAAGCAACGAAATTAAATAGTAATCTCAATGTATAGAAACTATTGGCAAAAAATCTATTACTTCACTTCAAATCTCTTCTCTCTGTGATAATCACATGAGACAGAAATCAGAAAGAATGCAGGCACGTCCTCAAATGACATTTATATAAAACTCCATCCATTACCATCAAAATAAACATTATTTTCAAGATCACATGAGCATTACATCAAACATATCAGGGCCTAATTAACTATTTACTAATTTTTAAAATAAAATTATATAGCCATAGTACTATTAAATTAGAGAACAGTAATAGAAGAAAATTGGAGACTGAACTGGAATAACAAAAGCATCAACAAGAAGTCTTCATGTAAATTGAAAAACATTTTAATATAAATGGGTATATGATTTAAAAATGTATGGGGTGCAATGAAAAAATTTAACAGTGAAGAAAACATGGTGGTTAATGTATATATGTTTAAAATATAAAATATGTATGATTGCAACTTTGGAAAGATATGGGATTGGTTAAACAGAATAAATAAAATGGAAATTCATGCATTTGAAAATTAGAAAAAGCTAAAATGTTTAAATAGAACTCAATAATTTTAATATATAAAGCTCCAACTGTGTAAACCAAGAAAAAACAGAAAGGAGACACAAACGAAATGATGTAGAGTCATCATTACAGATTCTATAGACACTAGTCATGTCATGTGAAAATGTTTGTCTCTTCTATTAGCTGAGCAGACTAAAAAATAATGGCACTCTGTTAAAGATAGTTTCTGCCCTTGTTTCTTGGAATTATCTCTTGAGTTTATCTTTTCTTCCATAGTTTTAGTTTAAAATTCTGTTTACTTGACAGTGTCTTGAGCATGCTTAGCATTTTCTGTTTTTCTGTCTTTGTTTCCCCTGTGTTCTGTCCTCACTGGATGAATTTAAATAACTGTCCTTGTACTTTTATTTTACTTTTATTTGTTTCATCATCTTTTTCTGGAAGATCCTCATATTTATTTCAAAAATATTTTCAGATGCAAAAGGTTTACTTGCTTTTCTTTATACTTTCAGGTATTTGTAGAATTTCTTGCCGTGTTAAATTGTTCATATCTTCCATTGTAGTTTTATAGTTTATTGAGTTTCCTTACTACTATGATGTTGAACTCTCATTTGGCTTTTTGTAGATATTCAGATTTTTGTCATTATTTCCTCAGAATTCTCTGTGATAATTTATATTTTTTCTTACCTTTTGGTTGCTAATAACTCTTTATATGTGAGTACATTCAATAACAAACACCTGCAACAATGCATATACTTTTTAAGATTTAGTCACTTTTCCCCAAATGCACTGACAAGTTAAGTCAAAGCTGTCACTTGAATAACAGTGAGGCATGTAGTTGCATTGGGTGCTAGATATGGGTTCACACTGAGGTACTGAGTGTCCTATGAGAGAAATGTCTTAGGCAGTTGAACTCTGCTCTGTGTGTGACAGGGCATTTACTGGTTTCGAGATAGTGGGAAGTAGGTAGTGGTACTAAGGGCCCCCTTGTTCCTGCAGTATCTTTGGGTTGAGTACAAAGAGACCGAGGAAGGGAGCAGTGAGGAGTTGAGCCTCCTTTTACATAACTCTAAGTTTAAAAGGCCATTTTCAATTGAGTACCTAGCAACAGCTTAAAGAAATCAGCTCACTCACTCTCAGTGCAAGGACCAGTGCAAGAGTCATGGACTAAGAACAACTGTGACTTTCTGTGTGTGATGAAGGCTGCAGTCTGAGAACCTTAAAGGGTCTGCTGATAATCTGGGATCTAGCAACAAGGGTTAGATCAGCCATGACTATATGCACAACTGTAGTTCTGATATGAAGCTACACAGCTTTATAGTATAGACAGGCCCAGTTTGGAATACAAGTTTGATAATGAGACCTAGCACCCAGGTGGGTGGGACTGTATACTTGTACTGGTACTTATTGCCTCTCATCTTCATACACTGTTTCTATTTAGATGCCAGCACATTAGTCACCCATGTCATTAGTGAGGTACCACAATCCACAGTGTATGGTCTAGAGGTCAGTCATGTTTGTGGAATTGTGCCTGGCGTCTGTGCTTCATCTTTAGGCAACATTTCCCAGAGCAACCTCGGGAGTTAGAGGCTGGACCAAACAGCACTATGCTGGGCTGACTTCCCAAGGGAGACCTGGCCTTGGAGGAGGTGGGAATGGGGGTGTAGATCGGGGAGAGGGCTGGGGGTAGGAGGAGGGAGGAAGGGGGAATCCATGGCTGATATGTGAAATTAAGTTACTTATAAAATAAAAAAAAAAAAAAGAAAAAGAAAATGGATAATTAAGAGATTTTATGTGTGCAAGACACTAGGTGCACTGTATCTATGTTACCTTTTCCCTTCTGTGTGGTGATGTTATTGGAATCTATAGTGAGGATTATTTTAGCATTCCTACATGAATTATGTAGGAATACATAGTAGCTACTTGGAACCTTCATCAAAAATGACAGCTATTCTTGAAATGCAGGGTTTGGGGTTCAAAGTTGACTCCTGCTGTCGGATTTATACCTGTAGTCCACACAGTTCTTTTTCTTATCTTACTTTAGGCAATTCAGCTGAGCAATTCTCTCCATGTATCAGGCTAGGTTAGGCTCAGACTGGTCATGGGAGTAATGGCCCAAACTTGAAGACAATCTGTGTTACTCTTTGTTCTCCTTTGTACTCTGGAGTGTAGCAGTTACCTAGGGAGTTTCATCCTTGCACTGCAGGACTTGGGTTCAAAGGACAGAATGATGTAGGCGCATTGAAGCTTTTCTCCATCCCATTGCTTGAGTGGTCGTTCCTGTTTCCTCCACTGTACTACTACTGCACCTTCTTAAGTGGATGGCAGACCTCTGGAGTTATTTTCATTCAGAAAAGCTGCCAGATTGTTCTTTGTGAGGGGAAACATGACTGAGATCTCACACTTCTATCTTTCTGACATCACTCAACTCTTTTTCTACGTTTTAGAATTACCCAGGTAAGAAGTCAGTTAACATATGACTTTATATACATATATATAAGTATATATGTATATACATATGTATGTATATGCATATATACATACACATATATACATATATAACTTAATATATAAATAATTATATATTAAAATTATAGTATAATTCATTTTCCCTATACCATTGCATATAAAAGGCAGTCTGCACTGTCATCTATTAATATTATATTTTTACCACACATATGTATCTATTTAATAGTTTCTTCACTGAAAGATATATATTGCTTACTTTTTTAAATTTTATAAACTGTATACAAAACTGCAACCATGGGGCAAAGTGGGGGTGGGAGAAGACACAATAATGGACTAAGTGCCAATTACTGTCAGCTTGAGAAATGAGTTAAAACCCTCCAAGGACAATTTTAACTTGTTTTTAGGCTGAATTTCCAAGTTTCACAGCATGCATGGGCATGTTATAATGTATCATTTTGTATTCACATTTGATGTTTACTACACTACAAATGCATTAGAAAGTACACAAGCACAGATTATTCAATTTGTTTTAAGGAATTTTTCTTAACATAAAATCAAGTGAAAGATATATATGCCACAGAATAAAATAAAAACTTATTTCAATGAAACAGGATTCTGACCTTCTTTCATAAAGGAGCATGTCGATATTGAGATATGTTAACAACATATGGAATTGGTAATACACTCTGATCTCTAATTACACTTCAAATTTTATGACTCAGAAAGCTGTATCCAGCAATAAATTAAATTAAAAATACTTATATAGCAATTGTGTCAGGTTATGTTGACAAAAATGTGAAATAGCCTCAAAATCACTTCTAGCTGTAATCTACTGAATTATTTTTTAAAAAGTAATTATATGATTTGACAAAATGAAAAAAAAGAGAGAAAATTTCCTAATTGTATAAAAAGAATAATATTTCTTCTATAATAAATTAAGTATAAAATATTTCTTCTAAAGTATGACCAAACTGTGGACTAAGGGATTTGAAAATTTAATAGTTATAGTTAAATCTTCAGAAATTTGTATTAGTAATTTATGTAAAATCTGAATTTTGAAAAAGAATATTGAAAAATTTGAGAAAATTATGAGAAAACTCAATTGACGCACATGGAATAAGTCAATGACTACAGGATACATATATATCTCATTTATGTATCAGTTATATTTTAACATAGATCATATGATTAGGATGTAAAAACTTTAAGGAGTTTAAAGTCATGTACATTTTTCTGGATATAATGAAATTATATTAGAAATCAATGAGAGAAATAAAAATGAACAAAACATGAAGCACATATATTAGTAGATCAAATGAATAATCAAAAATTGAATTTGAAAATATTTTGAACTAAACCAACTGCGTATTTTGTTGATTAACTGGGCAATTAGTGAGATTTTTGAGATAGAAAATTTGTATGTATTTCAAGTCAGCCTTGAGCTGTGAATCTCTCCTGTCACAATCTTTTTTTTTTAATTTTTATTTTAGAATTAATTTAATTTTACATATCAGCCCCGGATTACCCTGTCCTCCCTGCTCCCACCCCCCAAGCTTCCCCCCCAATCCACCCCCCATTCCCTATGTTCTCAAGGCAAGTTCTCCCCTGGGGATTCAGCTCAGTTGGGTAGATTCAGTTGAGACAGGTCCAGTCCCCTCTTCCCTACACCAAGGCTGAGCCAAATGTCTCAGCATAGGCCCTGGGTTCCAAAAAGCCAGCTCATGCACTAAGGACAGGTCCTGGTCTCACTGCCTGGGGTCCTCCTAAATAGTTCAAGTTAATCAGCTGTCTCACTTATCCAGAGGGCCTGGTCCAGTTACATGGGGGCTCCTCAGCTATTGGTTCACAATTCATGTGTTTCTACTAGTTTGGCTATTTGTCCCTGTGCTTTTTCCAATCATGGTCTCAATATCTCTTGCTCATATAATCCCTCCTCTCTCTAGACAACTGGACTCCTGGAGCTCCACCTGTCTCAATCTTTAAGTGTTTAATTACCACTGTACCCAGTTCTAGCCTGCAAAGCATTTCTAAAACAATAGAATGAAATTTAAAAAAAAAAATAGAGACAGAAAGCTGTTATAACTGACACCTAATTAAATAACAAAAAACCAAAAATATCAAAGCAAGTATAAATAAAATAAAATGAAAGTTCAAATCAACACAGTAGAACACAGAAACACACATGAGAAATGTGGATACAACCAGAAAAAGAAAGTTGTATTGCAGTAATTAACAAAATAAATCCATTCATAGTCAGACTAGTAAAACTGTAGTGGTATGTACTTGAGGAAAAGAGGATTCACAACAAGCAAATGACAGTGAGTTCCAAATTGATTAATGGAATTCACTTTATTATTGCAAACAAAGTCCCATCAATTATTATGTTCTTGATATTACCCTTATTGATATGACAAATAGTAATGGATTGAAAAATGAATAATTTTATAGATCCATGAGTAAATACAATGAAGATAAATGAAGAGGTTGAATCTCAATGAATTAATATGTTAATGTCTTATGGTTTGTACTTTTTATATTTTACCACTGGAGTTAATAATTTTTATTCTTATTTTTTGAAAATCATTATTTTTGAGAACTTATATTATCTATGAAACATCATGACAAAAATATTTTAAAAATAGCTATAATGTCATTATTGCGTTTTGAATACATTTTTATCACTAAAGATTGTAGCTGAAAGTTTTATTGTGTTTGTCTGGCACCAAGGTCTCTCAGCCATTTAAAATTTTGTGTCTTGTCTGGTCTTATTATTGCTCAGACCAAAGTAAACACACAGAGGCTTATATTAATTAAAACTGGCCATTAGTTCAGGCCTATTACTGACTAGCTCCTACACTTAATCTCCGCCCATTTTTGTTTATCTATAAATTGTTACATTTTCCATGGCTTTACCTGTGTGTCATTACATGCTGCTCCCTGGACCCCAGGATGGTTTCTCCTGACTCAGCCTTTCTTTTCCCAGAATTTTCCTTGTCTGTTTATCCTGCCTATACTTCCTATCTGGCTACTGGCCAGTCAACGTTTTATTTATCAACCAATCAGAGCAACACATACAGAGCATTCAAAAGATATTTTAGAAGGAGACATGATTGGGACTGATATGCTATCTGAATAGCTATGAGAGCTTGCTAGACTCTGAGGTTGAATCCTTGACACCCGTATTAAAAGCCAGGCCTGGTCACTGAGTACTTGTAACTCCAGCACTGTTCATGGGGGAAGATATAATTATCAACAGGGTTTCCTGTGTGCCAGCAAAACTCTAGTTTCAATAACAGACCCAGTCTCAATACTTTCAGCCAGTGGGCGAATAAATAAGTTATCTGACATCTTCCTCTGGCTTCTCTTGCATTTGCAAGTATATGCATGAAACACACACACACACACACACACACACACACACACACACACACATACATACACACATGAAACTGGATAAATAAATAATTGTATCGAGTATATGTGTTTCCAGCATTGGTTATTTAATCACTACTATGGATTGAATAACTGTTTTCCAAAGGGCAATATGTTAGAGGCAGGATATATCCAGGGTGACTCCCCTGGGAGGTGGGGAAAACTTTAGGAGGTGTAACCCTAGGAGACCATTAGGTCATCTAAGTCTTTCATTCATATAATGTTGTAATTACATAGTATCTTCCTCTCTCTTTTCTTTACTGGGCATGAAGATAGCAGTCTGATTCTCTGCTGTAAACATCTAGTAGGCTCAGTTACATCCATGGCCCCAGGGCCCTTCAACAAGCACAGTTCTAGATACATCTGAAACTTCAGTAGGGATATAAACTCCATCACAGGACAGCATCTCCCCGTGGCCATAATGAACCTGTGAATCTGACCCATCAAAGACACTACTGGTTTCAACCTGAAGGTTGAGACTGCAGGAAGACAGGAATGTGTGGCAGTCCAGTGTCTGCACACCCGACTAGCCAAGAGGCCTCTCTGAGACTACAGCAGCAATGTGGTCAGTGCAAAGGGATGTCTCTACATGACCTTTAACTAGAACTTCAAAAGGTAAGAGCCCAAATCAACTCTTTCCCTTTATAGGTCAATTGCATTTTATTATATAAACGAAAGTTGACTAGTAAAGGAAATTAGTATAGGGAAGTAAAGCCAATCACTATAATTGTGCCCAAAAACTTGGTAGGAATTTTTAAAATTTTGGAGAAGCAGGCTAGGCAAAGCCTAAAATGCTTTAAGTTAGGTGAATTTACAGTGAAGATAGGCAACAACAACAACAAAACATCCCATGAGGGGCCATGTGGACTATTGTGGTATGATTAATAATGGTGCATCATCATTTGAAAAGAGGAAGCACACATTCAGAAAATAGCAAAAAAATGTGTCCAGCTTATATCTGAAATCTGTAAGATCACTCACCCATCACAGCTTCAGAAAAGCAGTATGTGAGTTTTCTTTTCAATGAGTTTCTACAGAGAATCCTTTCAGAAAAGACTCACTTGGTTTTCTACATGTCCAAAAATATGTCAGGGAACATTTTCTCCTTTTCAGCCTGAAATACATTTAAATATCCCTGCAGCCATAGCTCATATATTCACAGGTTCAAGATTTACTAGTAAGTGTGTGTCATCTATGTTATGAAAATTTTAGAGGCATTTGACTTGCAAGAATCATGGAATCATATCAGCTTCCCCTAAGATGTCAAAGGAAAGAATGGAAGAGTATGCTATTTGCTTCAGATTCACAGGTAAAAAGCCCACAGTACTGTGATGAGAAGACCTAAACAGAAAAAAAGGTTTTAAGGTAGCCCTCGGGGAAAGAAAGGCAAACAGAATACCCAAAATTTGTCACGGAAAGCTATAGGTCATGTGCTATACCAAGCCAAGGAAGTGGACAACAAACACCGCAGTCAAAGGGAGGAGCCTGCCCAAGCCTTCGCCTGGCAGTATTTAAGTTCAGTGTTTCTCAAATGCTCTGCATAGACTTTAAGATCTAGTATTTACAGCAGCTGAGTTTTTGTCTTGATTTTGCCCTGTTTCTTTCTATACTGCTTTTGTGGCTGGGAATGGTATTCTCTATTCCTTGTCGCTGTTACTATTCTGTCTTCCAACTACTAACATTCTGAGTTTTAAAAGCAAGCTTGCCTTATATCTTCAAAGGAGACCTTTGACTTGAACTTCTGAGAAACTGTCAAATGGTTTGGAATCAAGGAGTTCTGTATGATGTATGGAATCTATTTTGCATTGTAATAAAGTAATGAACCTTTGGTGTTCATGCCTGAATTCTGCTTGTATTATGAAAAATTACAAGTTGGTCATAGGCCCCAGGAAAGAATATAATACCATCATTCTTATAAATGGAAATGATGATAAAATGGCTCTCAATTACTTATTTCTTCAACTGCAGATTAGTGCATCTACTAATACTAATCTGAGAAGCTTCTTCTTGAAATAGATTACAATGAACAGAGACCCTCAAAATGCAGAAAATAAGAGACTGCAACAGTGCACATTCCTAAGTGGGACATACATACGCACTCTCCCTTCCAAAGCTCAGAGATCTTCATAGAAGAGGAGCAGGATGATTATATGAACCAGATGATGTGAATGACTACAAGGGCTGTGTTTTGAGATAAAAGAGGTAGTTGCACCTTGGAACTCACAATGATCATGAGAGTGCACGCAACCTACATAAGCTTAAGACAAACAAAATCTGAGCATGGAAGTGAGAACGTTGTCATTATGTCCTACCACTAGCTATTGGAATTTAATAGTTGCAGAGGAAGAGCAACATATAGATATTGTTAAGGATGTGACCTGATAGGTTGACATGTCACATCAGGAGCCACATTTAAGGATAGTTAGCTGCACATTTGGACTTAATCGGTTTCCTTTTTTTTTTTTTTTTTTTTTTTTTTTTTATTAAAGAAAACTCAAAATTGGGTGTCTAGGGAAGTGAATGTGGAGGAGTCTAGGAGGGGAGAACACAGTCAAAGATCATTGTATGAAATGTCAAAGATAAAATCAAAATCACCAAAAAGGATCTTAGTGTCTGAGGCTGTAAGTGCAAGTCACGTAACAATTCTAATGATCACATGTTTCCTATGTATTTAGGTACAAATAAATAAAAGGATTTTTTCCATGTAGTTTATTCTCTGAATGTATAACTGTGCCAATGTTTGGAGTCACACAAAAATTATTTATTCCATAGTGTAGAGATTTTTTGCCTCACTCTCAAGGGTTGTTACTAACAACCCTGTATAACTGATTGTTAAGTTATTCACAGTAAAGATTGACTTATTTGACAATGGTTGTGTCTTTCACATGTCTAGTAATAAGTAATGCTTTCTTATTTCAAAATATCTGCATATTTTAATATTGAAGTAATAAATAAGTAAGGACAGAATGTCATTTTAAAAATAATTATGGGGAAATAAAAAGTAAAAATATTCAAAAATAGATATTTTATTAAAATTATGGATATGAATTTACAGACAAATGAGAAGGTTTGGTAACATAAATCAGCATGTGATAGAATACCTACTTTAACGCCTCATTGTGTGAAAAATACCTTATTTGCATCCCAGGTACAGCAATTCAAGGCATTTGTAGAATATGTATACCACTCTCTTTTATGAGGAGAAATAGAGATGTGTTCTAACAGGCTTCATGAAATAATAATCCAATTGTAAAGGAAACACACATACAAAATATGCATGCTACTTGGCACTAGCAAGTGACATCTGGGATAATCATGGCATCTGGCTTCTGGGACAGTACTTGACAGGACTATCTGGTAACAATCTGTTACACAATTTGACCAAAGGAAACAAATAGAGTACAAATAGCCCACAGTGACTGGAAGAATTGATGGAAATTTAAAATTGGCTGAAAGTCCTAATTGTTTACTACAGTCATGGCTTTGAATGGGAAACAGAATCAGAAAAGGTCTAAAAAATCCATAGGAAAATGTGGACTGTATTACCTTTTAATATTTAACCCCCCTTTTGATATTTAGCTATCTTAAAAAAACTATATCACATGTATCCAACTTAAAAATTTTCAAAAATATCTTCAGATACTATTGTAGATTCAAACTGTCCTAGATATTCCCAGCATTCAGAAAAACATGTGATTTAAGATGAAATGCTGTGGTTTGTCTATGAAGATGTCTGAACTTTACCTGTTATCCACAATGTGCAAAAGTACATTGACTATGCTATTGAAGGTTGATTTCCACTATTATAATATACTAAGAAAATTCACATTGTGCTTTTAAAATTCATCAAAAACATTGTCTATCACTTATTCTGTATTTTATCCTTTAGAGTATCCACTTTATTTCATTAAAATTTTTATGATAAGATATGTGCGATAGCTCAATGCATTAAGATGCTTGCTGCCAAGCATGACACCTGAGTTTGATCCCCAGAAACTAACTTGTGGAAGGAAAGAATTTATTCCCTTCAATGCTTCTCTGACTTACACATTGTACCATGGCTCATGCACACATACATATATAGACAACGAGAGAAAGACACATATTTATGAAAGATAAGTAAATATGAAGTTATAAAAATTAGAAAAAACTAATTATGATTTCTGATTATTTATAAATATTTCCTATGCATTTTTGAAATTGTTGAGGAAAATAATGTTTCTTCATTTTTTCTCTACATTATAAACAAAATATTAGTAAGCTATGGAATATAATAAACTAGTTGGAATAGATAACTGCAAGTATAAAATGTAAGTATTTATACCTACATTATTTATTTGACAAATCTTAAAAGTGTTTAAATAATTTACATAAATTTTATGATCTGCATTTTCTCTGTATATATACGTACTTTGAAAGTTCTGTTGATTTTTAAAATTTTCTTTGTTGGCCATTCTTAAATTATTCTTATTTACAAGCTTTGAAGTGTTTCAATTCTGAAATAATTCCTCTTCATTGTGTTTACAATTATTTTCCTTCATAAATACAATTTACGTGTATCAGAAGCTAAAGGAGCATTCTGAAAACAAACGAGGAGAAATATTCCTTCATTGCTATTCTTTGATTGCCCCTCAAGCTCAAAGCCTTCCCTAATGACTAGGTAAGAATTTGTAATATTATTATTCATTGAGTAACTCCATGGACACACAGCTTCCTTTAATCTGGACTTGATGGATGTATAAGAACTGCTGACAAACTGCCTGAATCAGAAACTCAGAAAGGAAAATAGAAGTTTTTCATATCCCTGTACTTCACTACAAACATTCCTTTAGACCTACACATAAAAGAAACTTCTACTTCCAAATTCCTCTTTATGTGACTTTGGTGGAAAGTAATATTTAAAATACTAAAATTTAGCTACATCAAAGCTATTTTCCAATTTCCTATCCCCATTAGCTCTTGCACTAAGCATGTTACTTACCCCCTCTGTGCAGCAGCTTTTTCTGACTTAGAACGAATGGTTTTGACATAAATGATATATGCTATCATTTCTTACTTTAAAATTGTATTGCTGAAGTAAAATAAAATATTTGGAAATACTTTGGAGTGACATTTAGCAGAAACTTGTCAAAATAAAATTGGATTATTGCAACCTGCTTAAAACAAATTTCCGCCAGAAACTCCAGACCATCATGCACATCCAAGTGTATTCTGAGCTTGCATGAAACTGTATCTGGTTCTACTTAATGAGATTTATTGTGGAGGAATGAAATTGCATTCTCCATGATTTGATGCAAACCGATCAAATGCTGAAATATCTGTAATATGAAGAAAAAGAAAATACGAACAGAAATATAGTTTGAGTTTTACAATGCTTTTACTCCATCTAGATTTTTCTCCCCAGTAGTTTACCAATATTTCCCAAACATTTAATGCAATATGAAGAATTCCACTGAGATATCTGAAGGTACATATGAGGGCTTCCATTCTCATTAATTTAATGGTCATGTGATTTAGGAAAGCTCAGTAAAAAGCAAATAGTTAATAGGAATGTTTATTTGTAGTCTTTCTGATTTATTTGATATATTCTACATTATGAGTGATAAAATAACTGTTATAGATATAAGATTTTGTGGCAGTTACACTACGTAAATTTATACTCCAAATGTGTATCTAGGGAAGGGAGTGCAATCTAGATACAATGTGCATATACATGAAATAAGTCACCTCTCTATATTTCATCAAGGCTTCCACACAACAGAAAATTCAAAAAATAATGTGTTCTGTGTGTAATAGATAAATCACACTTCTTTAAGTAAAATTCAACATGAAATATTAGAAAGTAGCATATGACACGGTTTCACAGCTCCTGTAGTCTGATAGAATTAATAATCATGTAACAAAGCCTTTAGTGCTCCATTAATAATTCTTGGGACTAGTGAAAGTAATTCAGTCACAAGAGCTCCAATGTCATGATGGTATTAATTCCTTACAGAAAGGCTGGAGAGAACTTACTCAGGATTTTTGTTTGTTTGTTTACCGACTTTCGGCCATGTGAAAACACATAGTGGGTTCTCTAACCTTTGGCTATTTGAGGACAGCTAGACTTTACTATAAATGGGGAATGGTCTTCATCAGAGAGACCAGTACTGTGATTTGCAACCAAATTTCTAACTCTCAATCTGTGGGAAATAAACTCCTGCTTTTTGTCTATCACTCATCCACAGACATTATGCTATGGAGGCAGATTGGAACAAAGGCAGAAATCACTGTAGAAGAAAGAAGACTTGATGTTAAAATGAAGGTTCATTTTTCAACTGGGAAACAAGATGATGCAAGAAGAATCTGTAAGAGAACACCAGAGAAATCCTACAATGCTATCAACCAAATATTAAAGAAAGGAAATCTAGTGAGAGTCTAGAGAATAAGAGCTGTAATCAGTCTCTTTATTCTCAAAGTGGACATGATCAAAATGCTGTGGAAATAAGAATGGTGATGACTGTCATGATAAGGTAGAATTTGAATATTTTATTGAAAATTGGAGGAAAGATTAATCATTTTTGTTTATGAAAATGGTGGAGAAATGGCTAAATTTTGTCTGTTGGTTTCTGGAATCACAGATTTAAAAGTGATAAAGTGTAATGTTAACAAGATTAAAGCCCTAAACAGCACAGAGCATCTATATACTTCTCTTGCTTGTAATAACATTCAGAATGAATCAAATGAAATAAAGGAAGATTGTGTTAGCCAAATCAAAGCAGAATCAAAGATGCGTGTGCTTGCCCCATAGAAAAATGAAAAGGTCTGCTTTGGTGAGAATGCCAATGGACAGCTGAGAAAACCTTTGAAAGGGAGGCTAATATAATGGAAGAAGTGTACTCTTTATGAAGATGACAGATGATTAGCGCAAAGGCATTTTGGAGATTTCCGAAACTTCCTCTCACATCACCGATTTGAGAGGCATGGCCTTCACAGAAGAAGGTTTCAAGCAAGGGTACCAGGGAATTATTTGGACTTCCAGTGTCACTTCCTGCCTTCTGACTCCACTTTCTACATCCATTGCTTTTAGTGTTCCTTGACTTCCTCAGATGTGGCTCTTGCTGTCTTAGGTGCTGTACAAGATTCTACTTCAGAAAGAATAGTGTCAAGCCGGGGAGGTATCATGTAGTACTGACTAATACAGACACAGTACACAAACTGGGGAGTTGCCTTAATGCCAATTTCTGAAATTGAATCATCACTTCTGTAGAGAATAAAGCTCATGTAACTGAAAAAGCTCAGGGAACCCAGGCAATCATGACCCACAAGACCACTCTTCAAGGCTATCTCAGTGGGGATGCTTGTGGCAGGAAGCTGACAGTCTGAACAGCTATCTGCAAGTTGTTCAGAGGCTTGAAGGAAGCAGCTTTGATGAATCATTTCCCATGCTGGGGTAAGCTTTTTGGTGATGTGCTTCCCTTTTGAGTTTTCCATGTTCCTGTAAGTAATCTATCACCCATTTTCTTTCAAGTGACTCTACTAAACTTCTTGGTTCCTTCAGTTAGACTTAGGTATAGTGTAGTGGGTAGCCATTCCAGCCTTGATCTGGAAGTTCCAACCCCCATTGAGGCTTCAGTAACCTTGTAGGCAGGGCCAAGAGAGGACCCTGAAGATCAGAGATCTGGATTCACCAGCTCTCATGGTTCCTGGACGCTGGACGCTGGAAGTAGAATGAGTAGAGTTCTTAAGAACACCGCCGGAATGCGCTATACCTTGTCCAGACCCTGTAACCTATCCCTTTACTTGTAAGTCACCCCACAAAATAAACCTCCCTTTTAACTACGTGGAGTGGCCTTAATAATTTCACCAATAGTGTAGTAGTGTCTTTGGTCTATTTCCAGCACCCTTATGGACATAAATGAGCATTTTATTCTAATCTCCCTAAAACTTTCACATAACAGGACATGTAACTGCTTCCATCTGGACTTTAGAAGATATAACGGGATGCCTCCTTCCCAGCCAGAGCCTTGTCACTTGCAGCGTCACCACAAAATGTCTCCACTAGGGTGGTGTCTAAGCAGTGTACAGGAAATGCAGGTTCTCTGAGATCCTAGACATTCTAGAACTCCAAGATTCTAGAACTCCAGAATCAGAAGCAAGCCTTGTTGACTTAGACTGCCACAGGCCTGCTTCTACAATGTGAGAAACAAAACATGGTCTGCACTCTGAAAGTCATGGGGCTGAGTAATCAAAAAGCTTAGAGAGCCACACTTTGACCAATTTGTATCAGGGATTCATTGGAAATAGCAATATATTGTGTAAAATCTAGTCAAATTGCTTCATCTGGAAACCAATATAACATACTAATAACTCAAACCTTAAAATTAAGATTAAAAATATTCCTATTTTAATATGTTTTTTCTTTTTCTTTTTATCTGTCCATTTCAGTATTTTCAAATGAAATTTCAGTTTAGAAAGATTCTACAAGCTTCCAATTAATAGCCTCAATAGTTTGTTTCAAGATAACTTTTTCTTTCCTTCTTCCTTCCTTCCTTTCTTTCTTTTTTTTTTTAAGACAGGGTTTCTCTGTGTAACCACACTGGCTGTCCTCTAGCTTTCTCTGTTGACCAGGATGGCCTTGCCTCAAACTCACAGAGATTCTCCTGTCTCTGCCGCCCTGAGTGCTGGGATTAATGGGATGTGCCACCACTGTAAGGGAGCCAGTGTTGCACCTCTAGGGGAAAGGACTCTTTGAAGAAAGATTTATTTGGCAAAGAGAAGTCCAGGAGAGTGGCTTACTCTACCAGGGTGAGAAAGAACAGGTAAGAACTGAACAGACAAGGTGGTTTATGTAGGGTTTCTTAAGGGGGGAGTTTTTCCAGTGAGAAGATATTTTGTTCAGGGATTGGTTAGTTTTTCCTGCTCAGGGATTGGTTAGTTTCGTTCATTGGTCAAGGGCAAAGATGGCCCTAATTTCAGAGCCAAACAGTGTTTCTTTCACTGGCATTTCTCAGCTTTTAGGCTCTAATTCTAAGACCAGGGCATATTTCTTTCACTGGCTCTGACTCCAGGGACAAAGTGTGTTTCTTTGGCACTGGTTTCAGAGTCAGGGTATGTTTCTTTAGTTCTGGGTTCAGGGATAAAGTGTTTCTTTCTCTGGCTCAGGTCCCAGATCTAGGCTGTGTTTTGCTTTCACTAGTTCTGGGTTTCAGGGTCAGGGTGCTCAGGGATTGGTTGGTTTCCTGATCTGTGATTGGTTGTTTTCACTGGTCTGTTGATCAGGGGCAGAGATGGTCCTGATCTCAAACTATTTCTTTCACTGGCCTTTCTTAGCTTTTTGGCTATAATTCTAAGGCCAGGGCATATTTCTTTCATTGGCTCTGACTCCAGGGACAAAGTGTGTTTCTTTGGCACTGGTTTCAGAGTCAGGGTATGTTTCTTTAATCTGCATTCAGGGTTAAAGTGTTTCTTTCTTTGGCTCAAGTCCCAGATCTAGGCTGTGTTTCTTTCAGTGGTTCTGTGCTCCAGGGTCAGAGTGGGTTTCTTTAGCAGTCCCCCTTTCCCTACAACCACCTCCTAGCTTCACGATAACATTTTATTTATGGTTGAAGCTTCCACATTAGTATATCTATTGCTGTTGTCCTTATTCATTACATGAATTTATGAAAGGAAACTTGGGTTTTTTTTTAGTTAAAACTCTTCAATAAGAAAACAGAAATGTAAAAATATTGAATATTATGTAATAAATGTAAAAATACTGAATGAGATTTGAAAGGAAAATACATAAAAAAAATTCATGGTGACAATTGAAGACCTTAATATAAATTCATATTTATCACATATTAAAGCATTTTATTATGGAAGTCTACATTTCCTAAACAATATTATTTATAGCTTTTGCTTTGGAATTTATACTTCAGTAAATAATAGAAATTCTTTTAACATGAAGCTAAAATATCTTAGTTTATATATTTGGTTACATTATAAATATAATCTAAGTGTGATTTTATTATGTCAGGATATTTTATCAGCAAAGTCATCTTACAACTATGAAAATTATTTACAAAATTCAAGCAAGGTCTCTAAATATTTCAATTGTTCCTATAATTTACAGTGAAAGCAAATTCACTCACATATTTATAAAACCAATTAATTAATAAGTGTACATTTTAAAACAGCATTTGTTAGTCAAGCTATTTACAAATAATTAGGAATTGATAAATATTTGGAGTGATAAAGTATTCACTCCATCAACCAACAAATGGTTTACAAAATTTGCTGCTGCTGAGTGATGCCACAGGCAGTTTTTACATTATGTTTAAAAGCTACTATCAAAACATAAGTCTGAAAATTCCTTCTTTTTGAAGTCTCTCTGCATAGATAATTGACCCCACTAGAAAATTCCTATGACATTTTTCAACAATAACAGCAACAAAAGGACATACTCCTTGTCCATAATCTAGTCATGTTAGAATTTAGTTGGAATATTACACATTAACATATTTAAGTTTTGAGAGTACATATGTTAATCAAATTATATATTGAATATTGCATCTTTATCAATGACAACAAAAGTCAAAGAAACAAGAATAAAAATAAACTAAATTATACTTATGTTCATTAAAACCTTTGCATGCTTCAAAGGAAAGCCACATCATGAGAAAAATTCTTTGCAAATCAGCATATTGATCAGGAATTATAACTTGAATTTCTAGAATTTCATAGTAAAACAGTAACAGTACAATAAAAGACACAGTATCTGAAGTGATATTTCTCCAAAGAAGATATGTAAAAGGAAATGTAAACTAAGAAGACATATTCAATATCATTAGCTATCCAGAAATTGCAAATTAAACTATAAAGAGATAACTACTTTTCCCTCTTTAGCATAACTGTTAAATGTGGCTTATTAACAATCTTTAACACTAGCAAAACTCTGAAGCAATGGAAATATATGACTATTGGAAGTATAAAATGATGCAATTTTAAAACATTGACATTTGTTTAAAATTTAAACAGCAAAGCTCCGGGAGTCTAATTAGCGAGAAAAAGGAGGGTTTATATGATCGAGAATTGTTGAAACCAAGGTTGGATAAAGCACAGGAACAAATAGCCAAACGAATGGAAATACATGAACTATGAACAAACGGCTGAGGGGCCCCCAACTGGATCAGGGCCACTGAATGGGTGAGACAGTTGATTGGCTTGATCTGTTTGGGTGGCATCCAGGCAGTGGGACCGGGCCCTGTGCTCATTGCATGAGTTGGCTGTTTGAAACTTGGGGCTTATGCAGGGTCACTAAGCTCGGCCTGGGAGGAAGGGAATGAACCTGCCTGGACTGAGTCTACCAGGTTGATCTCAGTCCTCAGGGAGGCTTTGCCCTTGAGGAGGTGGGAATGGGGAGTTGGCTGGGGGAAGGGGAGGGGGGCAGGAAGGGGGAGAACAAGGGAATCCGTGGCTGATATGTAGAACTGAATTGTATTGTAAAAAGAAAAAAAAATTAAAGAGCAAAGACTCAGATATTACACTATTATTAATACACCTCATACAGATGAAAAAGATACCATTATTCACGGTAATCTAAATTAGAAAAAGAGGAAAGAAAACTTTTATCTACAGCTTTCAGCCGATAAGCACTATGCCATATTCAAGGGATAAAATGAAATTTAGTCTTTGAAAGGAACTGCAACATGCTGTAAGACTGTTGAACCTTGAAAACAAGCTAAGTGAAAGAAGCCAATCACTAAGTTAACATATAGTCATTCTTATGACATGTATAGAATATGGAAAGGCATATTGTCAGGAAGCATGTTAGTGATTGTGAGGGCTAGGCTTGTTGGGAACAAGTGGAGAGTGGTTGTTATTGTGTTTTGTTGATGAAATTGTTCTATATTTCATCAAAGTGACATTTGCACAACTCTGAATAGGCTAAACCAATAAAATCCAACAGTTTAAATAGATGTGTTGCATTGAATATTATTTGCATTTTATCTAAGTTATTACAATATATATATATATGAAAAAGAAAGTATTTTCAAAATAATACATCTATTGTGGACATACACCCTTTCTGGCTGAGAAATAATACTGATCAGTGCATATTTTTGATACTCTGCTTCACAAAAATAAAGTTTATGTACTATTTTTATCTTATCATGATATTGTCTCTGTTATGCATTAAATTAAGTTATCAGGGATGTTGCATTATGCAATGTATTACAAAGATAAATACCTCAATATCATGACTGGCACATTTGATGATTACTTCCTATTAATCTCTCTTTTATTCATCCAACTATATCACTTGGCAGGAAAGCAAGAAAATTAATATTAAAATAAATAGACTTATGTAAACATGTGCCATCATTAAACATTAAACATGATGGCACATGCCCATAACTCTGCCACTTGTA